GAGGGAGGAACTGGAGGTTCCTGGAAATGGCAGAAGAGGGAGGTGGTCAGGGCTCCAGCTGGCTCTTGATCCTTGTGAGACAACCTGGGTGTGTTGGCAATTTCTAAGTTCCCATCCTGGGTAATAATTTTTCTTTTTGTTTTTTCCAGAGGAGAAGGAGGGGAAGTTGGAGAGCAGCTGTTCTCTGGAAGTGATTAAACCCTAGAGAGATACACATAATCATAGAAAATGGAGAAAAAAAGATGGCTTAGAAGCTCAAAATCAGTTCCATGCCTTTGACACTGAAACCACGTCTCCTCTGGTGCAGGAAGGACATCTGTGTGTCATGGCACTAGGGAGTTTTTAGGGTCAGTTTGGCTGACCTTTGAACCCACAGCACCCAGCCACGAAGCTCAACTCATCGCTGTGGGTGCTTCAAACGTGGAGGGGGACGGTGAGTGAGTGAGAAGAAAACATGCTGAACAACAGAAGCTTTTGGGGGTAGATGGTGACTTTCGTCTTTTGTCAGTGCCACTCAGCCACCGTCCACCCAGAGAAGAGCCATCTCTGTAGAAAGCAGCAGTGCCCCCCCCCCACCAGGATGGTGGCTTGACAGGTGAGACATGTGCTGAATTCCAACCTCTTTGCTGAAAGTCAATGGGAAAATGTGTGACCTCCGCTCACTCTCTGGCTCACTGGGCCTTCAGCTGTGTCTTTTAAAGGGGAATGACGTTTCCAGACCCTTGGGGAACCCTCCGGTTTTGGCTTGAGCAGCAATTCTTGACGCTGGTGGTAGGTCGGAATCTCCTGAGAGGTTTTCAAGCATGCGAGTGCACAGGTGCGATTGCACACACCTGAGTTTGGGTGAGAGGCACCCTGGACAAGCTCCCCCAGGGGATCCATAAGCGGGAAGCGGAGCCAAGACACCACCGCGTTGGAATTTGAGTTCACCTGCGCTGGAGTAATGACACTCACCCTGTAGCTGCTCCTCCACGTGCGACCCAGCAGGCAAACAGGGGGCTTTGGAAGGTGGAAATGATAATCCCGTGGCTTACAGTATTTGATTGGAGTCAGCATGTTTTACTTTTGCCAGTGGCTTCGATAAGCCAAGAAAATCCCAAGTGTGTATATTGAAAAGTTATTTGGTTGGATTAAAGCTTTATTGCTTTTTGCCAACTTTTGAATTGGGAGGGAATGATTAGTGTTGGAGAAATGTCATGATTTCCTTTCAAGCAAGATTTGGGTTATTATTTTTTGAATCCCCAGCTCCTAGCACGGAGCCTGCCATGTGGTGCTATGCTCAAAATGCTGACGTAATTATAGTGGCTGCTGCTCGCTGGCTCGTCCTGTAACATTCAGCATTTTATTTAACCTTCACAACAACCATAGGGAATGGGTCAATCAGGGTCTTCCTTTTATAGGGTACGAGAGGCAGAATTGTAGGATGGGTCCACCATTCTGCCCCGCCTTGTGCACGTCCTAGACGATCCCCTCTTCTTGTACGCGACTACAATGAGCTATGGCTCCTGGGACTGTGTTACAGGATGGAAAAGATAAAGGAATTTTGTCACTAAGGACCCTAATCAGTTGATTTTAAAGTGACCAAAGCGGGTGTATCCGGGGTGGGCCTGACCTAATCAGATGAGCCCTTTAAAAGAGAGTCCAGGTCTCAAAGCCTGCTGGCCCTGAAGAAGCAAGCCACGGAGAGATGGAAGGCTGCAGGGAAGTGGACCCTGCCCACAGCTTGGAGTCTCAAATAAAACGTCCAGCAGAAGGCTCAGCGAAGTTGTGCCCAGATCCCTGACCCACAGAAACCGTGACAGAATAAACAGGTGTTAAGCCACCCAATGGGTGGTCATCTGCGATGCAGCAAGAAAACCGTCAGCCCACGAGTGAAGGGAGAGCGATGCGGAGAGGCTAATGGACCGGTCAGCTGTTAAACAGGACTTGCTCTGGCCCTTATAAAACGAAGCTCAGGGTCACCCGCCCGCTCGCTGGTTTTCTGTAAGCTCTAACGTGGGCCGTGGCCGGGCCGACTCCACCTGGGAGCTGAGTGCTGTGAGGGGCGGGGCTGCTGCGTGTCCCACCTGTGGTTTCCAGACACACAGGGGGGGAGAAAGGCTGCCTCCCAGATTCTGGTCCCCAGCTGTCCCTCTGTAACTCAGGAGGGAGAGAAGGACAGGAGAATGCTTTTATCAGGACTGGGAGCCAATCTGCTGAGTGCTAAAGAAAAGGACGCGGCTCTTGTCCCAGGGCTGTGGTCCCGTGGTGACACCCACCTGCCTGGCTGCAGCTGAGAGGGTGCTGGCCTGTTTTCCTGATCAGATGCAGGATGGAGACCTGTAGTTACCCGTCTTGAAAGACAGGCTCTCCGTGACCTCCAGTAGTAACGTACCCTTTAATCCAGCGTTTCTGGTTTGTTAAGGAGACAGAGGGAGAGACAGAGACGCAGAGCGGAGAGACAGACAGACAGCTGGGGATCTGGTTCCTCTGGGACCCTCCGGGATTCTTGGTGGGACCTGGCTCTGCTGGGAGGAGGCGGAGGATGGTGTTTGTGAGTAGACGTGGGTTCTGAGGGGTTCTCAGGGAGCCGGTCACCACCCTGCCACCTCACGCAGAGGCCAGGGGTGTCCCGCCAGGGCCAATCGTGAGTGTTTGGGAGGTGAGCTTCACGGTTGCTCATGGTGTGAACTTGGCCGGGTGTCCGTCAGCAGCTGTGTGACCTTGAGGAAGCCACTGCCTTCCTCCACCTTTGTTTCTTCTTACAGATCAGGAGTAAGAGCGCCCGGGCAGCCCTGTCGCTCCGTACCTGTTCCCCCTGTCTTCCTCGGCAGGAGGATCTCCACTCTGGGACGGAGCCTGAGTTTCCCAGCCCAAGCCACGCCAGGGTTTTGCAGTTGGAATGAGCTCGACAGCTCTGGCTGGTGACAAGTAAGAGTCCTTTGGTGGGAAAGTGGGGGGGGAGGCTTGAAAAGAGGTTGTTTTCTTGTACATAGATAGGAAGTGCCCAGAATTCCTCCTGCAGCCACCGTCATCCTCTTCCTGCCTGGAAGGTGCCTGGGAAGCACCAGGGTGAGCAGCCATCTTGTCAACACGAGATTAAGGAGGAGCAGCAAGCTCTGCATGCCGGCTCTCTGATGGGTCACGGAGCCACCTACCAGCCCCCGCTGCCTTCCTCCAGACAGACTGCTGAGTGGAGGGAGTGCCTTTCTCTTCCTCT